CAAAAAGTTTCGATTTCAAATTTTTGCTTCAAACCCCTATACCGATCTACACTTCAAATTAAACACCAAAAACTACGAAACTACAGTATATAAACACTACGACGACTTACTCTCGATTCTGAGCTTCAATTTCGCCAACCCCAGAATTAGGGTTCTTCTTCTTCGAATTGGGGATTTTCAATTTTGCAATGCAAGAAACTGGGTACACTACGGGTTTTGGGTTTTGATAACACTCGGGTTTACTAATCGGTGGATCCGGTTTACGATCCGGTTTTATTGTCAACCGTTGAAATCCATAACTGAGGTGAAATAATAGTTCAAAGTTCATATTGGAGAGAACTACTACGAGATTAGTTATCCGGGTGTTTCTGCGAGGATATGAAAGTTTCGGGGGTGAAATAGTATGTTTTCCCGCCTGATTTGAACATGCTTCCTTTTTATTTGGCGTATGGGAGTTGCTATTCTTCACATTGTTTCTAGTGTCTAATGATAGATAAACCAGGCTTTTCTCAGAGAGTTGAGCAAGTTAAGAACTTAATTTCTGCTTTGAACACATAGAGTTAACATATATAGCTTCATTATCCATAAAACAGTACACCCAATAAATATTGCTCTGAGGTGATGATTAAGAGTAAATTGTTCAACATTAAGAAACAACTTTTAAAAAAAATTAAAGTATAGGAAACACTTTATAAAGAATGTTAATGTAATAGTTTATGATTTTATAAACTAGAAGAAGTGAAATGTAAGTGAGTACCATAACCATCATTCCTTCTACAGAAATATATGCAGACTTCAACAAAACCAGTTCAGAGGACCTCATTACATTTCTGATGGGCTTCAGACTAACATATCTTGAAGTGAAGCTTCCTGTAACGTATTTTTTTTTTTTCATTTTTGGTCGATATAAACAGCGTCAACATCATCCAGTTCAAGTAGTTTCTGCATAAGCTCTTTGTTCAATTCCATTGCCTCATCATCCACCTGCAACAACCCACAGACAATCCTCAGTAATCACATGTTCCAGTGAATGAAAAAAAGAAGACGCCACCAAGAACCAGAGGCCATGAGCTAAATTGCTACTTGCAGTTTTGCTTATGTAGCATATGGAATCTACAATGTACTTAACATGTCAAGAGGAAAACTATGATGCTCTATTAGACATGCGGAAAACAGTATGGCACAGAGGTTACAGAACAGAGCTAAGATTCACTACCTCAACCGTAGCCAGAGGGAGCAGTTCAGAGCCATTGTCAGGCTCAAAGTTCACTCCTTCATCACGCAGCTTTGACAAAATCGTTGAGTAGTTCTCAGAAGAAGTTACAATTTTGTAGTACCTG